CAGTCTTCCCCATGATTGTGTAGCCTAGTGAACCAAACTGAGAGACCATTTTGAAGGCTCAGGAAACCTTTGCAGGTGTTTTGAGTTGATTAGCTGTTTGGCATGTCACCATATTCTAATTTGTTGAGATAGTGAATTGGTGGGTTTTTGTTAAATGTGAGCCAAAATCATCACAATTAAAAGAACCAAAGACTTAAACTACTTCAGTCTGTGTGCACTGAATTTATTTAATACACAAGTTTCACAATTTGAGTTGAATTACTGAAATAAATGAACTTTTCCACGACATTCTAATTTATTGAGATGCACCTGTATATACACAACACAGATCATCACCTCCACTAATACACCACACAATATATCCGTGATTAAAACAAAGATTATCTAGGATCTTATATTTATACATACTTGTATAGTAAAGAAGTAAAATACCAAAATTGAACCTAAATAAATTTGGTTACACTGTTGCAAGTAATGGTTTAGATCAGGTAGAAATCGCTCCTTAAGGTAACTCGTATAAACATTTTACAGTGAATAATTTTTGAATAATTATGTCATTTTGAAACACTTTCATAGAAACGTTTAAAAGGAAATGACTCAAAAAAATATTCAGATTCAAGAATCAATATATATTGCCCAAGGTCTTGATCATCCACAGGCATGCAGAAGGTCTAATGTGAAGCTTATATCGACATAATGCAGGACAGATGCGCTTCAGTTCTTGCACTGGACACGAAGTTCCAGCTGTCCAGAAGTTTCCATAGCAGTCTGCTATTTCTTTTTGTTTTTGAGAAGGGCTGAAAATAATCACTGCTCTGCTTTATATCAGGTGTTCAATTAATGACTTCAGTATGGAAATGTTGTAAACCGTCAGATCTGATCAGGCAGATGTCATAATTCATCAGGGCCCTAGAGAGAGGTGAAGAACCTCTCACAACTCTCTTCGGGAGGTCAGGCTGACAACTCAGGGATTAAGATCCATAGTAACACACAGCATGGAGATAAAACAGAACTTTGTCAAGGCTGCAATCTTGCAAAGTGCATCCAGCTCATTTAAAGCACACTAATGAGTCTTAATGTTCTTTGCAGCTGTGGGCGATCAGACTGGACTATTCAAATCCACTTGCCACTTGCATTAGTGTTTGTTGGACAAAACATGGCATGTAGGTCTTTTTTTCTTTTTTCTCTTCCTTCTCTGAAGACAGTTTTTTGTGCTGTCAGAGAAAATAAAGATTGACAGCACGACAAACTTTTTTTTAGGTGTCTCCAAACCAATGGAGTGTCTCCAAAGTTGGCCTTTTGTCCATTATTCCATTTTCCCCTCAATTTGAATTTTTTTTCTTTCAGATCTTTTTAGAAGCACAATGGACATTTATACATTTTTTAAAGTATTTTTTGCTTATTATTTAAATTAGAAAACAAACAAACAAAAAATTGACATTTTACCAAGCTACATCATTTTGTTTTTGGACCAAACACGTCAATTTCTGCACCTCAGAGGTTGGGGGAAAAATGTCCAGACTCGGACGGGTCTCTCCGCTGTCTTTTTTAGCCTCTGCTTCTGTCTCCTATCTTCTCCTTAGGCCATGTTTGCCAGCTACGTCCCTGAAATCATAGAGTTAATAGGAAACCGCAAGAAATATGGTGGTTCCTATAGTGCGGTAAATGGCAGAAAGTAAGTATTCCAGGTGCCTCTGTGGCTTTGGTCACAGCAGAACCCCTCTTTGCATGCACTTTTCTTTTTCTGTTCCATGCATGTAGGCCATGTTTGCTCGCTACGTGCCAGAAATTGCTGCTCTCATCCTTAATCGGAAGAAATACGGAGGGAGTTATAACTCGACACGAGGCAGAAAGTAAGTCAAAATCCAGAACCAGGTGTGGTTGTGTGACTCACATGCCCCCGTCTCTGATAGAGAGGGGGTTAGTGCAGACAAAAAAATTATAGGACGAATGAATGTCACACTGTGACTGGAGACCTTGGCCATCGAAGCCACATGTCAATGTCCTTTGCTCTGTGTCCGTGGCTTCTTTTCCGTAACACATCTGCTGCATTTTAATTTCATTACAGTGACTTGTTGCTTTTCCATCCGTTATGTGCTGCTGTAGAATCAGTGTTTGTTTTGCATTTGAAATAGAAAAGAGCAAAATGAATGATAGAAGATCACTAGCTTATACTGTATGTAACGATCAGTATGTAAACACTGTTCACTTAGTGTCATCATTGTCTTGTGTTTATTTCAGTTTTCTGTTCTTTGAGTTCTGCTCATCATGCTTGACCCATTTCTCGCATGCTCTCTATGAATGATGACTTTTTTTGCATGCTGCAGTGAGAAAAGCCTCTCTCATTTCTCATCTCTGTGTGACATGACTCTGGCCCTGATCTTCAGTCAGTGCACACCCTGAATGCCTGGATGCCTCAGCTATCGCACTGGAGCTGCTCCATTGCAATTGGCTTGCTTTTTTGCCCCGCTTGGTACTTTTACCATGTCCCGTTTTTTCTTTTCCTTTTCAAAGATGACCCCTGAATGTGAATGTGGATATTTTGAACCCGCCCCCCCAACTCGTTTCTGGCTCAAACACGGCCCTGTCATCAGCACAGCGATTCTCCCGAACACTCGCGTTTAAGTTCCAGAGCCCCCTCTCTCACTCTCTCTCGTGCGCGTTCTTTCCCAACCCATTTCACAACGTGAAACAGGCCCACGGTCACGTCCGGCTTTCATCTTCTGAATTTGAGGGCAAATACTAAGCCGGGAGAAAGCCATTAAGAGCCCCTTTGTTTGATGCCGTTTCGCTGTCAGTGAAACAAGATTGATGAAATGTTATGTTTGGCCTCAGCCCCACGTTTGGATTTGCAGTCTGGTGTTGAGAGAAGGCTTGTCAAAAGCCTCTCTCTTTCTCTCACTTTCTTTCTCTCTGGCTATGCATGCATCTGGTTGCGATTACAGTAGGCTCCAGCTCTCTGGCCGAGCAGAAAGACAGGCACCAGGCTTTGCCTTATTGTTTAAATATGCATGGGACTGTGTGCTCATGAACGGACACATCACGACACCTCGAAATAAATGTGTCGGGATATTTATTTCCACTGTCAGCACATTTCCGACAAGCTCAGGCTGGTGCAAAATACATACATTTAGAGTGTAATTCTGCACAAACTCACAAAAGTCCAAGAGCCAAGGTTTTTTTTAATAACGAAGTCCATGAGTAGGTGTTTATGAATAAACATTGGAGGCTGCATAAATGTCATCGAAACGCATAAATGTCATCGAAACGCATAAATGTCATCGAAAATGAACCAAGAATTTTAATGAAGTGTGTAAATGAGTAAAGACTAGATGACATGTCTTTTTTCAAACAGTTAGAGAATTAGAGAAAGAAACTGTTATGTTTAGGATCAACATGGTTTGTGATGGACAAATGCCATCAGGATCACTAGAGTGACAGCATAAAATTATATATACTGTACAGTTCAAAAGTTTGGGGTCAGTAAGATTTTTTTTTTTTTTAATTTTTAAGAAATAAATACTTTTATTCAGAAAGAGTGACAGTACAGACATTTAATATATATTGTTAACAAACATTTCTACATAATCAAATAAATGCTGTTCTTTTGAACTTTCTATTCATCAAAGAATCCTGAAAAAAGCACTACAGTTTCCACAAAAATATTAAGCAGCACAACTATTTTCAACATTTATAATAAGAAATGTTTCTTGAGCAGCAAAACAGCATATTAAAATGATTTCTGAAGAATTATGTGACTCTGAAGACTGGAGTGATGATGCTGAAAATTCAGATTTGCATCACAGAAATAAATTTTATTTTTTTTTAAATGTATTAAAATGTATTAAAATATAAAAGGTATTAAAATTTAAAAGGGTTATTTTAAGTTATTTGGTTAAGTTAAGAAGTTAACTTTACCCACAAACCTTTGACTAGTAGTATGTAACTTTAATTGTAGTCATAGTCTACAAGTTACAAAGGGTACCCTTAACACCTTTAACTC